AATCCTATGGGCAGAAATTAACATATTAATGAGATGGACTGTTTCAGTTCACGTTCTGCCTTGGAATTCTCCTGAGAGTTTTTCTGATACTTAATAAGGCTGCCTAATTTGCATTAGGTTATTAGTAAAAAGCATCTCCTTTCTGCAGTAGCTGCCTGATTTTGATCTTGCCTTCCTTGTATGGAAGTATAGGGGTATGGAAATTTCTCAATTAAAGAGTATTTCTATAATAGAATATGGATTAACTAATTGCATTTTGGCAGAGAGAGCAACTTGTATACAGAAGTCAGATTTTATCCTCGATTTTGCAAAGAGAATTACAGAAGTCTTTTTAGTCACTTGAAATGGCACAAATCCTGAGATTTTAATCCTGCTTGGCACAAATATCTGAGATTGAGCCATAGTAGAGTCAGACCTTTAGGACTAAAGACTGGTTAAGAATAAAATACAAAATTGTGCCAGAGTTAAAAAGTTTTGTTGTCCAGATAGTCTACCCTAGAGATCTCCCAGATTTATGTTCAGATTAATGGTGGAAAATCTCTAGAGATGTTGGACAATGTGATGGCATTGATTTAGTTTCCTAAATATACAATAACAAAACAGCATAAAGTGGTGTGCAAACAAAATAAGCCATCCATTCATTCACTTACAATTCTAGAGGTGGTTGTTATGAAGTTACTGTCTAGTCACTTCTGACAGTGACCCTGTATTCAACAGGAACAAACCTATACCTTGTCTTGTCCCATTCTCATAGCCCTTGATGTGTTGAAACCCATTGCACCAGCCACTTTGTCAGTCCGTTGAGTCATCTTCTTTTGTGCTGACCTTCTTTACCAAATATGATGTCTTCCTCCAGTCTTAGCCAGTGTCACTTCCAGCAAGCATTTTGTCTTTATTTCTTCTTCTGGCAGTTCAATATTCTTCACCGCCTCTCTAATTTATTGGCATACATTCTTCTGCAGTGTACTGGAGGTTTTAGGTTCAGATCTAGGGTATTGACAAGTTAACTTTTTATTGAGAGCTCCAAAGGAAAAATCTCTTCATTTCCTTTCCTGGAACTTCTGGGTTTTGTCAGTGATCTTCGGTAGTCTGGGGCTTCGGCATCACAACTGGAGTCTCAAACTCTGTCTCTATATTTTTCTTTTTTCCTTTGCCTCTTGTTATAAGGACATCAGTTATATAGGATCAGTACTCTCTTTACTCCACTCTGACCTGATGCTGGCTAATTACATCTGCAAAGAATGTATTTCTAAATAAAATCTAATTAACACACACCAATGTTAGGACATGAGCAAAGCATTTTAGAGTACATAAGTCATCTATTAACAAATATCTGTCAAACTATCATATAGTTACTATCTAACTATTTAGTTACAATAGAGAATTTTTTTGTTGAGATTTTCCCCTCCATTGACAAAATACACTTATTATGGAGGTCAAGCTGACAATTCCTTATCTGAATCTTCCAGGATCATCTATAATCTATAAGCAGAACTTGGGATAGAGAGATGTTACTCCAAAATTGTATATAAATCTGAAAGTTTCTACCTGTCATTTTTTTACTTAATAATCATTTTCTGGAAACACTAAAAAGTAAATGAAATATATTTCAGTGGCTGTAAAATTTAGCAGGAACCTGCATGGTGGTGGGGAGGGCCACCAGAGCATATAAATATGATGATGAATAAGAAGTCAATAACTAGAATTTGAATTTAATTGAGCATTGGATAGCAAATGCTGTAAACATTTTTGCAATGCTTTATCTTAATTTATAGTTAGCCTATAAGATGTCTTTCTTATATCAATCTTAAAAATAATATTGCTTTCAAATTTTAATGAGATGAATAATTTTGATGTGTCTAAGGAGCCCTGAACTGAGCTCTGGTGATGTTGTTGTTTTGTGCCATCAAGTCACCTGTGACTCAAAGTGACCCTGTGTACAACATCTCAGAAGCCTGCTCTTTCCTGAGCCAGTCTCACTGGCTCCATCACACCTAACCACATTGCCCCAGTTGCTGTGTCAATCCATCTCATCTGAGTCTTGCTCTTCAGTGCTGTCCCTTCACCCTTCGAAGCATGGTGTCCTTCTCCAAGGTTTAGTCCCTCCTGGCCACATGCCCAAAATATGTAAGACGAAGCTTCAAAATCCTAGTCTTCAAGAAGAAACTTGGTTTCACCCTCTCCAAGACAAACTTATTTGTTTTCTTGGTGATCCATGAGGTGTTCAAATCTTTTCTCCAGAACCACAACTCAAAGGCATAAATTATTCTGTAATCCTTAGTCATTGTCTAGCTCTCTGATGCATAGCAAGTAATTGCGAATACTATGGCCTGGGTCATGTGCACTTATTCTCTAGACTGACATAGTTGCTTCTCAGTACTCTGAAAAAGTCCCCGACAGCAGAACTACCCAGTACAATTTGTCTTTTGATTTCCCAATTGCTGGTGCCAAGAATTGATTGTGGAGCTGAGCAAGCTGTAACTGTTAACAACCCCAGTCTCTTCCCCATGTATCATGATGCTGCCAATTGGCCCAGTGGTGAGAATCTTTGTCTTGATGTTGAGCTTCAGTCCAAAGCTGATGATGTCGTATTGCATGGTATATTACACTGTTAACCAGGAGGCTGTGTGTTTTCTACAGATAAAATCAGTTCATGGCCATGAGCTCAGTTTTGGGGTGCTAGATGCTTCCATACTCTTCACACTTAATAGTATGTTGACAACAGCAAATATTTTTTTAAAAAAATAGAAAAAAAAACCCAATACACTTTCTTTGTTGTTTTTGAGTACCACTGAGTCAGAACTGATCCATAGCTGACCCTCCAGCAGGTTTTCAATTGTTGTGAATTACATGAATAGGAGGAGATTGCCTGTCTTGTTCCCTCAGAGCCACTGATGAATTGAAACTATATACCTTAGTGTTGGTGGCACAATTCCTTACCATCAGCAGTATAGGTAGGTGTAAGGGTTGGATGTAGATGCCTTTCTCATGACCAGCGTTTCAGAATCTTTTGTCATCTGGAAGGGCACTCTGGTGACCTAGTGGTAATGAGTTACACTGCCAACCTGAAGGTATGGAGTTCATATCAGGGAAGAAAGATGGGGAGTCTCCTCTCATGTGATTCACTACCTCTGAAAACCCACTGGAGGGTCAGCTGTGGGTCAGTTCCACTTTGACAGTACATAACAACAACTATCATCTGGAGGCTCTGTGCATGAAACAGCCTCTTATGTTCATTCTTATCACCTTCCCTCAGCACAAGCACACACTCACACAGAAACACAATTGTTATGGGCATTACTAGTGACTCAGCATTTTCGTCCTCCTTACCTTATTCACAGTGTGGATTCAGAAGTTATTTCAGCATCTAAAAGGAACTGGAAAAATGTATTAAAATTATTCAGTTTGATTTCTTTAAGTTGTCTTCTAATGTTTCCTTCTATTCTTTTGTGTTCATGTAGATCACAATGTAGTCTTTGACATACATAAATTTCAAGATATGCAAGAATAGATATGTAACCTGATATATGGTTATGATATACTGTATATTGTACTTACATGTGATGAGGATATTGCTTGTGGAGTAGCTACTTGAAATATAACCTCAGATTTCTTGAGGAAAAACAAGCCAATCTAAAAAGTCAGATATTAGGAGTTTCTTAGGGATGTATATATTAAATCATATTTAATTATTAATTCTTTTTTTATTGAGATTTTAATGAAAGTTTATAGGGAACTTGGATTTCCATTCCTTCATTTTTGCACAGTTTCCTCCCTGTCCCCATCCCCCTCAACAAAAATTTTTTCATTGTTATGCAGCCCGCCAATGCCAGTCCACTTTACTATGCAGTTCTTATTCTGGACTCATGTCATGTCAATAATACCTAATCATATACTCCTTTTATACAGTTCTTTCCCTTGTCTATTTGAATGCAGTGTACATTATTTATCCCTTCTTTTCTTAGTTCCTCCCAACCCCAATGCCAGTCCTGTTTTATAACAGTGGCATTATGCAGTATTTGTCTTTTTGTTACTGAGATATTTAATTCAGCATAATGTCCTCCAGGGTCACCCATTTTGTATAATATTTCGTCGGTTATTTATTTTTCAGTGCTGTGTAGTATTCCATTGTGTGAATATACCCCAACTTCTCTAGCCATTCATTTGTTGATGGGCACTTAGGTTGTTTCCAACTCTTTGCTATTGTGAACAAAGCTGCGATAAACATGGGTGTGCATATATCTGCTTAGGTGGCAGTTCTGGTGTCTTTAATGTATATTCCCAGTAGTAGAATTGTTGAGTCAAATGATATTTCTACTTTGAACTTTTTGAAAAAGTGCCATACTGCCTCGCGTAGTGGTTGCACCATTTTGCAATCCCACCAACAATGAATAAGGGTTCCAGTTTCTCCTCAACCTTACCAGCATTTGTTGTTTGCTGCTCTGCTGAATTTAGCTATTCTTACTGGGGTAAGATGGTTATCTCCTAGTTGTTTTGATTTGCATCTCTCTTAGAACTAGGGATTTTTAACATTTCTTCATGGGAGCTTCTAAGAATCCAATCCCTATGCACATCCAAAAACTTCTCCAACAGGGTAAAATGGGAAGCCAGAGACTGGGAAAAAATATTTGATAATGACATGTTAGACAAGGGACTTACATCTAGAATTTACAGAATACTCAAGCACCACAACAAGATAAAGGTAAACAATCCAATTGAAAAATGGGCACAGGATAGGAACAGACACTTCACCAAAGAAGGCATTCAGATGGCGAACAAATACATTTAATTTTGAAACCCTTAAGTGTTATTGGTATAACTGTGTTTAAAACAAAGCATGAAAATGAATTTGTTAATTTTTTAGTTTTCTACCAGATGCTAAGTAATTCGTTCTACATTTTTAGTTCAAATTGACAGTGACTTGCTAGTAGCTGGATTTCTCTGGCGTGACGTAGCAGTGAACAAAGGATCCACTGACACTTTAATTTTTTTTTTTTAAGCATGCAGACATTGGATATCGGAATATTGGACATCTTTGGTTTTGAAGAATTTCAAAAGAATGAATTTGAACAAGTAAGTAGGTTTCCTTTTATGAACTTTTTCATTAATACTTTAAAAAATAGTACTATAAGTTAGTTTTTATTCAAGAAAAGTTATTCGTGCAATTACTTGTAAATATGCAATTAAAAGGTGTATTTTGCTTTTATGCTTTTACATGTTTATACCTGAATTGTTGCCATATTGATTATTTGTATGTGGTATTACAAACAACAGCCAAAATATTTTTTTTAAAAAACAATGGAAATTCTTGTTTAAAAGATAATATTGAGTGGAGACCTGGCTTTTGCTTATGGAAATGCTATCTCAAGTAGTTCAGGGAGTGAGAAGATGCCTGGATTGGAAATCAGAGCAAAGGTTTTCAGAAGCCTGGGCCAAAAACCACAGCACAAATACTCTATTTTACTAAACACTGTTATTTGTATATTCGGCTCTGTGTGACTTTCATATATTTGATAAATGCATTTAAGATGTAATGATTATTGTTTTTAATTTACAGTTACATTTTGAAAAACATCATTCCCCAGCTATTTGAAAACTTCTTCAGAGGAGTTTTTATCCAATTAAATATAACTAAAAATAAATGTTGTACAAGAGAATAGAAATAAACTTATAAACAAAACAAAAAGCAAGCTTAAAAGGTAAAGAGAGAAATATGGAACTCTGTGCTGCTTTATTATCATTTGATAAATCAGAAATATGAAACATTTAGAAAAATTTCTATTAATTATGTAACATTAAGCTTTAATTTTTGTAGAGGGAGAATATTTTTATGTTTGGGAACTGAATAAAAGCTTAACTGGTATTGTGACTTCTGCTCACCAGAGTGAGGTTTGCAAAGGTGAAGAATCTGTATAAGCATATGTAAAATGGAGATAATAATACACTTACAGAATTGAGAGCTTGAGTAATATTATGATCATTGACATTCGGGTGTAGTTAACTAGTACATTGTACATATTTAGGTAAAAGTGGATGCATAGCTGCTTTTGTAACTGGGAACACTGCAGAACCTGTTAAAACTCAGTTTTATTTCTAGAAAAGTGGTGCATCAGCCTGTGGGTAGGTCCTAAATCATGTTGACTCACCTAATCCAGAGTGAGTCAGCATGAACCCTATTTTTTATAAAACCTCCCCAAAAGCCCAGCTTCAAGTCACACCAAGAGGCTGTCTTTATTTTCCTTTAATACTTTTAGATCTGTGGATTAATGAAAGATAAATGTCTTGAATTTCTTTGATTTTTCCTCTGAAAAATAGTATTAAGCATGAAGAAGTCAGCAAGAGTGGTCAGCTGAAGGCAATGTGGCTTGTGTAGGTCTGCATCCTGCCTCTTGCTTTTTATTTTCAGCTAAGTATTTGAGTGCTATGAAATACAGCAGTGGCACTGGTTCCTTACATTTGCTTTAGAAATAAGCAGATTTCTATGTCTGAAATGTGACTTGCTTTTCTGTCTCTTGGCAAGTGATGTGCACTGATGGTATACCAATTTCTCCACTGGGAGGCCTATCTCCCAAGCTCCTTCCTTGTAAATGCTGTTTATTGCTATTATGTGCCCTTAAGTTGTAATTGACTCACAGCTGATCCTCTGGTTTTCAGAGACAGTAAATCACATGGGATTAGATTGTACCTCTTTCTACTGCAGAACAACTGCTTGATTTGAACCACGGCTATTGGTAGCACAGTTTGCCAGAGCTCCCTTGTTGTTGTATGCAAACAAGTCAGAATGGACCCACAGTTGACCCTCCTGTGGGTTTTCAAAGGTACCAAATTGCATGGGAGGAGATTTCTCATGCTTTTCCAGTAGATGCAAATCTTTGCCTTTGAGATTGCAGTGCAGCTAGATCTCCCTCGTGTTGTTATGTGCCATTGAGCCCACTGTGACTCAGATACCCAATGCACAGTAGCTCTGAACTGGACGATTTGCAACTATCTCCAACACACTGCATCAATCCATCTCAGCAAGGACTTCTCCTCCTAACTTTCCCTCTACCATTCCAAGCGTGATGTCCTTCTCCAAGGACTGGTTTCTTTTGGCAACATGCCCACAGTTTATGAGATGGAGCTTCACAATCCTCACTTTCAGAGAGCAAATGGAGCTTCAAAATCCTCGCTTTCAGAGAGCAAATGGTTTTCACCCTCTCCAAGATAGGCCTCTTTGTTCTTTTAGAATTTCATAGTGTGTTCCATGCTCTTCTCCAATACAACAACCCAAAGGCATTGACTTCTGTCAGCCTTAGTTATTGTTCTCTCTCTAATGTATAGCAAGTAATTGCAAAGATCATGGTCTGGATCAGGCACATCTTAGTCTCTAGACTGAAATTGTTGCTCTTTAGCACTCTGAAAAGGTTTATGAAGTTAGATTTTCCCAAAGCAATTCTTTTGATTTATTGATTGCTGGTTCTAAGTGTGGATTGTGGAGCTGAGCAAATTGAAATTGTTAGCAATCTCGTTTTCTTCTCCATCTAACATGGTGCTTAACTTATATATATAAGTTATTAGATGGAGGGCTGGTGAAAGGGAGATAGATGTGAAGGGAGGGG